GATACAGAAGTACATACATATAATGATGGATACAAAGAAGAAAGGTCTCACAACCTCTGCTGGGAACCAGAAGCAGATCCACACATAGGAACTGGCTAGATCGTCACCAAAAATCAGGAGCTCAAAGTAGTAGGCTTCCTTCTGCCCCCACCTCTTCTGAACACAGCATGTGTCCAGGCTGGGTTATTTGGGAACAGGGCAACGGTGAGAGATTCTTTTAGCAAATAGACCCACTGCAAACATAGAAGGTGAGGGTCAAGTGAAGATCTACTTACCTTGGAGACATTCCACCTCCCAGATGCCACCATCCCTGCCCTGCCTCCCCCAAGGCAGAGCTGAATACAGCTGAATGTTTGATGAAACTTGGCAGAGGCTGAGGAGGAGGATGGAAAATTCTAGAGAAACACACATGGGGAGAAGAGGCCATGGGACAGAGGAGAAGAGAAAAGTGCGTGTCGACGGGGCTGACAATTTCCTGCTAAGACACAGCCAGAAACCCTGCACATTCACTCAACACCCAGTGCTCTGCAGATTCTAAAGAAATTGAAAGATGCAACATGGTCTAGAAGGAATGGGCTGCTTTGTATGTTCTTGTGAATTCTGTGTCCATTAGGGCAGCCCAAGGTAAGCCCATGTACTCCTTAAACCCTGAGCCCCACCCTGCTTTTGTGACTCATCGTATCAAACACAGGACACACCAGAAAACCTACATTCTTCAGTTTTGTTCAGTTCTTGCAACCTCTGCTGAGGACCAGAAGCATCACCTGTCAATCAAACAGCTTGTTAAGCTCAGAACCACCAGTTGTTCTGGGTGAGGGCAAGATGCTCCTACCACACACTGGTGCCTCCTTTGGACCATGCCTTTCTCTTCTTCTCTCCTATTTCCACCTTACTTCATCCCCACATCCCCTCAGGTTGCAGGGACCTAAAAAAGCCTCCCTATTGACTTTCCAGTCTCAAATTTCTCCAACCACAGGCATACTGCCATTGATTTGAGTTCCTTGCTAAGAGAGCTACACTGACTCTCTGCTTCCTTTCCAGCCAAATCCAAAGCCCTCATCCAGACTTCTGTCTCCTCACCCATTCAGCCTTATCTCCCATAGCATTGCAAGGCTGCTGTCTCATTTCCAGCTCAGGTTTTGTGGAGTCCAACCTCTGTATTTTTCCCAATCTCACCCCACCCACCACTGACACCTCCCAAATCTCATCCTACTCATCCCTAAGCTTCAGATTAACTTTTATCTTTTTTATATATTCATTCCTGATGTCTCCGTCCCATGGTAATCTCCCCAGGTCCCTATTTCTGGGTACAATATGAGTCACTAGTACCTTATTTCATTATTGATTAATCTCCAATTATTTTCCATGTTTTAGTCATCACTTCTCCCCTGGGCCCAGAGTTGGTGTTTAATAAATATTTGGTGTAATTGCTGATTGGGGGAAATGTGGGAAAAAAGGCCATCAAATTAACCTGAATTAGCCAAAACCTGCAAACACTACTGTGCATGTGTATAACTGTGTTTAAATGTGTGCATCCGTGTCCGTGTGCTTTAATTCTCAAAGCTCTGTTTCACACCCTGGAGAAACATTACCGAATGTCACTTCATTTCTCCAGTCACCTATGCCAATACTTGAGCAAGGGATGCTCGGCCCCGACCCTGGCCTTTCACGATTGGCATGTGGCCCTGTCAGTGTTTGCAGGGAGACCTAGCTTCTGACCCCAGAACAAAGAGGCAATGCTTTTCCATCTGGCACCAGATATCTTCTGAACCTAGAAAATGGTCTGTGTCTCACCATGACCAATAGTATACTGGTGGATTGGAGAGAAAGGGAAGGAAGAAGAAGGTTCTGATGAGCTGGTGATAGCAGGCTGTTCCTTGCCTGATTCAGCTTTTACGAAGTCCAGAACTCACTGATTCATGCACTTGAACAGTAGAATTCTATGAATGTAGGGTTTCATGTCCTCAGTGCCTAGTACCCAGTCAGCACTTGATGAATATTTTAAGGAATGATTGTATGCGTATGTGTGCTGGAGAGACTTCAGAGAGGCAGAATTGAGCTCCCATGGAGATAAACTTTCTAACATGAGTTGATGCCCATGGTGTTACTTACTGTCTCAGGCTGTGATTAACTCCTCTGCTCCAGGATTTCAAGCAGGAGGAGGCTAATGACTAGTCAGGGATACTCTACCCAGAAAATCTAAGTAGTAAGTGGGATGTTAAACAATAGTAATAATATGCTATAGTTCTCATTATCAATACGAATGAATTAGCATTTATCAAGTACTTATTATGTGCACCACTCACTAGCAAATCATATTTTACTTAACTTATAATGATTCTCCAAGGGGTTTCCACCTCTGAGGGGATGATGAACCCATAAGGTCCAGTCACCTAGCTTTATCAAGCTAGGCACTGTAGGAAGATTAGAGATAGAGAAAAAGGGGTCAGAAATCAAGCCAAAATTCCTGCCCTTAACGAACTCTGAACTCAAGAAGAGAAATAGAAGTAGACACAAACTAGATTTCAAGGCAGAAAAAGATGTAGAACTAAGGAGAGTCATAGACAAAGAATTTGGGTTAGAGCCCAGAGGAAGAACTGATTAGTTCTGTGGTGATGGGGAAATCCTGGCTTCCTGGAAGAAGAGGTGTTTCTTGGTGATTTTGGATTCTAACATTTCCAAGGGCAGAGATACAGGAAAGGCCAGTTGATAACAGTAAATCAGGATAAACAAAGGCCCAGAGCTCTGTAGCTGGTGTCCCATATACTGTGGCTGAGTGTCAGACGGGTAGAAGGAGAGACACTGGGGAGAGGGGTCGTTTTTTGTGCCAGAACCTGGGATGCCTTTTATGATTGGCTAAGGAGCTTGAAAATTATTTTCTAGGTAATTTTTAAGGTAGAAGCAACATGTTTCATTGAGGTAATTCTACCAGAATCAAAGTTGGATTAGAAAGTATCTAGTGGGTTTGGGCTGCCATAATACCATAAACTAGGAAGCTGAATAAACCACAGAAATAGTGGTTTATTAAGTTTCTCACAGTTCTGGAAGCTGAGAAGTCCAAGTTCAAGGCACTAGCAGATTCAATGCCTAATGAAGTCCCCACTTACATGGTAGAAGTGGCAAGGCAGCTCCCAGGGCCCCTTTTATAAAGGCACTAATCCCTTTTATGAGGGGCCCACCCTCGTGATTTAATCACCTCCCATAGGTCCCATTCCCAATATCGTCACCTTGGTGGTTATGTTTCAACACATGAATTTGAGGAGGACCCAAATGTTCCACCATAGCAGAGAGGTAATCATAGCTATCACTTATTGAGTGCTTACCATGTGCCAGTGAAGGCCGTAAATAACTTGTATCCTGTCTCACTTCAGCCTACTAGTATATGAAATAAGTTCAGTAATGCCCCATTTTTCAGATGGGAACACTGAGGCAAAGAGAACTTAAGCCACTTATCCAGAGCTCTACATCCAATCCCGAAGACCCAGGAGTCCAACTTAGAATTTCTCTTCAGAGGCAGTTTTAATCCTCCTACTGCAGCACCACATCCAGTACCCAGTGAGAGCCTTGCCTATCACAGTGAAATACCATTGGAGAGATGGAAGTATAAAAGGCAGTATCTCCCCACTGCCTTGTATGTAAGAAATGGAGAAATATTCTCATCTCCTTGCATTCACATGAAGAAATACCAGAAAGATATATAAGAAGCTAGTATAAGTGTCAAGGTCAAGGACAAGGGCCAGATGTGGAATGGGGTGATACACCTCATGTATGCCTTTAATATGGTCCTTGTTGTTGACTCATGTGAATGTGTCATTTATCTGAAAAATCAGATGGTATAAAATAGAAGGCATAATTTAAAAGTTAATTCAAAGGAACAAATAAAAGAGCATAGAGTTGATAGGATTTGGAAGACAATCAGGAGACAATGCAGACAAAAAAAAATCAACAGGGTATCAGACTTTAGCACTGGGGGAGATGGGGACCCACTGGCTTTGCTTGGAGGACCCCAGAAGGAGAGTGGGTTGGAAGGTGGCTACAACACCTTCAAGCTTATTTATTTATAAAAGTGGACAATTGGATGTTGGGATTAAGGATGAATACACAGATGGGGTGTTGATTTCTGAGTTTCCCATGAAGTTTGTTACAAGCCTGTGAGTGGGGAACATGAAGAGGAGATTAAAGAAAGAGAAAGCACACGTATGATTGCATGAGTGGTGCAATCATACATGAGTGTGTACGTGTATCATTGCATGAGTGTGTACAACCAGAGAATTGAAATGTTGCGCTCCATTAATATACGATGAATCGAAATGCATTCTGTTGTCTTGTACAACTAAGTAGAACAAATAATAAGAGAAAAAAAAGAAGGAGAAATCAAGAGAGCACAAGACAGAAGTTTAAGGAACCTAACTGAAGAGGCAGCTATAGGGAAGCTTACGTACAGACTGTGAAGTCCTGATCAAGGGGCAGGACGGAGAGATGAGAACAAGGGAAAAGGGGGAGCAGAGAACCCCCAGAGGAGAGGACTTGTCTCCTGGGTCCAGTGGGTCGGGACTGAGGACAGGATGGTAGGGTTGGGATCAGAATGTGCTGCTGGAAGAAAGAAGAGATGTTTGGTGAAACCACCCCATGTAGGAGCTTCCAGTGGGACACCCAAGGGCTCCCTTCCCCATCCTGTAGGAGGCCAGTCGACACTGAGCGGTCGTCAGTCTCCACGTGTCAGCCAATGTGTAAGCTAGTGAAGGGGTGGAGAGGGTGTTCAGATAACACACTCCAGCAACTGAGTGGTTAAAGTGGGGAACTGAGGCATACAGACCTAGAAAGCATCTCTGACTTGCTGTTATCTTCCCATTCAGGCCAGCAAAAAGCTATAGCTTGATGCTTTATTTTTTTTTTTTTAAGTCTTCCTTTCTCTCTTTCTATGACTCACATCAATGCAAACACAATTACACACACACCAAACGCACGCATGCACACACGCACACGCGCGCACACCTCGGGCATAAAAGGGCTCATTGCAGCAAACCTTTTTCTGATACAGCTCACTGGGAGGGAGGGAAAGCAGAGCAGAGGAAAGAGAAGGGGAGATGCAAGCCACCCTAGCTACTTTTACTCCCCTTTAAGGCTGCCTGGTTACGGTCCTGGGAAAGAAAACCCCTGCATTCCTCCCCTTTAATTGGGTTTATTGTTAAAGCACTGGAGCAGCTAATCCTCACAGACCTGTAGGAGCAGGAGTGGGAGCGCCTAGAGCACCGACCGTTCTTCCGTGTCCTGGGTAAGATGAACCTGCTTCTCTTCTTGCTTTGGGGGGTTTCCTCGCCCAGTGGGAGGCACGCAGTGCCTGGAGAGTGGGTTTGAAGAGCCACTTCTGTGAGCGACTTGGGCATTCATTTGAGTCCCTGACTCTTGCGGTCTCAAGGGTAAGTTGTAGCTGCTGTGGGAAGCAAGTGTGAATGGGGGTCTCCGAGTGGGACTTCCCTGGGGAGCCATCTGACCATCACTCCTGGGCTGGCTCCATGGGAAGCATTTATATTTCTGGGCAGGGAAAGGGGAGCAAAATACCTGTCCATGCCTCTGACTCCGACCCGGGAGGGGCCCTGTCCATCTGCAGAGTGTCAGGACCTCCAGCCCCCTAGCACCTCCTCCCTCCAGCTCCCCCTTCATCTCTTAACCTCTCTGACCCCAACTGTCATATGGGAATATGTCCGCTCCGCCCACCTCTCTGGGGTTTGGGGAGGGTAAGGAGAATCAGTGGGCATAAAAGGGATTTGTAAACAGTCCATGGCTCTGCAAACCCCGGGGAAGAGGATCAGGCTCAGGCCTCCCGGACCCTCCATGCACAGGCTTCAGGCTCCCAGTCCCCTGCTGCTGCCTTAAGATGCAGAACCTGGGCACGCTGTTGCTGTCAGTCACAAGATAGCTCCTTCACCTTCCCCAGGGGCATGTCCACCTCCCTGGAGCCTTTAAACTTCCCTAGTTTAGTTCTCCTGTAAAGCTGTTAAAAGGAGGTCTGGATTCACCACCGCCACCCCCATCCGCACCGTGGCCCCTTCTCTCCACGTAACTTTGACGCACAAACATTAACCCTGAGGTTTCCGGAGGTGGCTGCCAGGACTGGCGCTGGTCTGGCTGCGGTGTGCGCCTGGCCAGTCTCTTGCTCTGGAACCAGATACACTGATCATGAGGAAAATCTCTGGGAAGGGTCAAGAGAGTCAAGCAGGTTTCGGCTTGGGTAAGGAGATGATCTTTTCCAGATCAGAAGCCAGAGACAGACCCTGGCCTCTGTCTTTCCTACTGAGACCTGAGCTTAACCAGGGCCAAAGATGAGACTCACATCTGAAACAGGCCACAACACAAACTGCTTAGTAATACCTGATATGGGGACCATACTTCACAGTTTATGATATGCTTTTAATTTATCTTCTTAAGGACAATCCCTCAGAGGGGTCATGGGGTATGTATTGTTACCCCGTTGGTATAGATGAGGCCACTGAGGCTCAAAGGGGTTAAATGGTTTGCCTGGGGTTGCAAAGCTGCAGACTGGTGGTACTTATTTGATGGTGGTAGCACTACTTTGAACCCAGATCTTCTGGTAAATTCAGTGACCTTCCCATGTTGCTACAGATAGCTATGAGTGAGTGGGGAGGGGGGTTCAAGAATACTCTTTAGAAAGATGGGGCAAAACTTTGGGGAAAGCCTGAGGTCAGAGTCAGAAAAGATTTAAGCTGCTGCTAGAAGAGGCTCCAGTAATAGACGCGGTTCCTCCAGCCTCAATATGAGAAAGCTGAGCGCCTGGGAACTCAGCCTTCTCAGACCACTCAAGCTGGCCGTGTGTTGGGGAGAGGGGGGGGTGGATCATTCAGGTGTTGGATGGTTGCCTGACAGCATCGCAAAGAGGAAGGTGGAGATGAGTGACATTCCCACAGGAAAGAGGCAACAGGTTACAAGGTATAGTGACAAGAGAACTGGTGTAGGAGTTTGAGGGACTGGAACTCCCGGTCCAGCTCTGTTACTAACTGTCTGTTGGATTTGGGGCATTTCTTTCTGAACATTTCTATTCATTGATGGCTCGACAAGGACAAGGTGTTATAGTAGCAGTGAGGCATGAAACAAGATTGTGCATGGAAAGTGCCTAGCACAGTGCCCCACCCAGTGCTCCCTCCATGGCCATGATTACTACAAGGCCTGGGAGCGATACTGGTGGGAAGGGAAAAACACCCCCCTCTAAAAGGAGAATGCCTCCCTCGCTCCCTCTCCCCCATACACACGCACACCGGGCCAGAAATAAATTGCCACACGGAGTGCTTGCGAGTGACGGCGGCGCCCAGCCACAGACTGCCAGAGCCAGCAGAGTGAATGAGCTGCAGCATGAATGAGAGGGGGAGCGGCTGAGTCTGCAAACAGGCTGCGTGCCTGGTGCTACAACCGCAGGCGCGCCGCCATGGTCAATGGCAAGGGGGAGGGGGTGGAGCGGCTGCCAGCAAGAAAGGGAGCCAGTGGGGGTCAGGGAGCTGCACCGCCTGTGAATGAATGTCCCCCGATGGAAGGCTGATAAGCTCAGAGCTTTGTCCTTCCTTCTGCAGTCCCCTCTCAGTACGGATCCTTGCTCACCCTTTCTGGGAGACACCGTGGAGAACCTGGCTGGAACATTTAGTAAGGTTGCGCGCCCCACGCCTGTACCAAGGAGGCACTTCTTGCATGAGAGTCAGGCTTACCAGCAGCACGTGTGACATACAGTGGGCATTACCCTTAACTCCTCTGAAAGATGCCTCAATGGAGATCAGCACATGGCCCTCGGAGAAACCCAACCTAGGCATGGTTTCCTCCCATTTGTGGAGCAGATGAAGCAGTCGGCTTGCATTCGGGCCATGATGTAGGAAAATCCAACGTGAGACTCTCAATAAGATGAGATGCTCACATTATAAGAGGCAAGTGGGAGCGAGGGAGCTAACTGAGGGAAGAGAAGATTCACGTCTCCTGTCATGCTCACTCCTATTTAAATTATTTGTTTTCCTGACTCTTTTCCCAGTGGTTGGTGTTTAATTTGTATTCCTATAATGTGGGCTCGCGGCGCGGCACTTGGAGGTTACAAAATGTTTTCATGCCCATTGATCATTAGACCTCAAAAGGAATGCAGAGAAATAGAGCAGGGAGATCATCATTCCCATCAGCAGAGGCCCAATGTGATTAGGAGCATGTTAAGAATAAGTAGGAAAAATTTTGCTCTCTCCATAGACTCCTATGTATTGACCTCTCAATCACCACCTGAAACTCTTGAGAATGGGCTTCATTCCCTCTGTGAGAAGCACATTATAAATCTTAAGCAATGCATGAATTCTGGCTTATTACTGCAGAGGGAACGATTTGGTTTCGGTTGCACCTAAAATAAACTGCCGTCAGCAACTGAAAGAGTTTCTTGCTCAATTATTCTGTGAGCAGAAACTGGCATGGGGCGCTGGTCTTGGAATGCAGGGTTAGCACGAGGGCTGGGAGGGTGAAGGGAATGGTCTGTGGAGTTCCTCTCCAGGCAGAAGTCTCTGCTGGGACACTTCCCCAGGAACCTCTGGGGAACAGAGCCTGAGCTCTGGATAGCTGACATGGCCCTGGGTTGCAACCCATGAGCTGTAAACAAGTTCTGAAGGCTGGATGGGCCTAGCCACGTGTGTGTGGCACTGAAGAGGGCACTGACTGATGGCAGTGGGCTGCTAGAAATTTCATATATTCCTCCAAAAGATGAACAACCACAAAGCATTAGTGATGGTCTCATTTGCATTTTCCAGAGTAGGCTCTGAGCAATCCCAGCTCCCCTTTCTGAAAACAGGTGTTTAAAAAGGAAAGAGTTTTACCATCACTAAATTTAGGAAATTCCACGTTAAACCGCCTTAAGTAGGTGTCTTTAGTAGAACTCAGAACTTTTTTTAATTATATTTGGTTTTTTTTTTAATTTTTAGGTAGACACAATATCTTTATTTTATTTTTAGTGGTGCTGAGAATCAAACCCAGTGCCCCGCGCATACTAGGCGAGTGTGCTACAACTTGAGCCACATCCTCAGGCCTCAGAACTTTTAATAAGCTGATGTGGATCATGAATCTCTAAGAAGGGAGACCATAGGACAGTGAATCTGCCTTTCTCATAGATAGCCTTCCAGGACTAATATTCTAAAAATCAAACTTCATGGAACCCTAATTTAGTTCACTCTCCTTTTTTTGACTAAAGAAAAAAAATAAACTCAGAGATGTATAATGATCCGCTTGGGGCTGCACAGTTGCTCGATGCTGAATCAAGACTGTGCCAAAGCTTGGCTTTTTTCTAGTGTGCCTCTTAAAGAATGCTACAAAGTCTAATGTGGACCAGAGTTCAGGAAATCATGGATCCAAGGCAAGAAAAATTCCCAACGTTAGCCTTTTACCCCTTTATAATCTGGTGTAGTCTATATTTTTATGACTTTGTGTGCCCCAGTCAGGAGGTAGAGAGCACTTTCTTATTAAAGATGATCCTACTGATAACCTTCCTCCCAAAGCCCACAGACCCTATGGAGTCTTGCTCCCTAGAAATGAAAAACCCAGAAAGCAAAGAGTATAAAGCAGTCTTAGGGTGGGCAGATTCTTCTGAAATGAGTATAAGCCCGGCAAGCTCTGAAAGCCAATGAGACTTGCTCACTATGCCCCAGAGTGATTTCACCCCTTTTTGTTTAGAAGTCCTAAGCAAGAGCACTGGAAAAAAGCACGGCAGCTCTCCCCCTGGGTGGAACTGAGCCATGATCTGTGGGTTTAGGACTGCTGAGGTGCTGCTCCAACTTTCTCTCTGTGCCTATGCCCATCTCTTCGGCTTGTCCATGCCCAGTCTAGGAGCACTATGATTGTTCTTTCGTTGCATATACATTGCAATGGATTGGCATGAAATGCCTTTGGATTACAATGTGATGCCCCTGGGACTCTGGGATATCATAACCAAAGGTTAACAGCTATTTCTTTAAGACACATCTCAGAGCAGAGTCCTAAATGCTTGTGATCCAAGTAGGAAATTTAGTAGGGAGGCTACAGAAGTAAGAGTCCAGAGAGAGTGTCCAGGCAGCATGGGGTCATGACCCTTTTGGGTTATGTGGTGGCAATCAGGAGACCACTGCAGACACATCTCATCTACCTGACAGTTCTATCTGGGACCGTTGATGCTCCCGGGACCAAATGGAGCCAGGGAAGGAGAGGAGAGTGAAGGCCACCTGCCTCCTGGGCTCAGGGCCCAAGCATCTCTCACCAGCTCTTCATCAACAGCTGCCGCCAAGGATCAGACGGCCTGCCCCAGAAGCAGAGTAAGGGCTGCACTCAGAGGCGGTATCCACCCTAAGCCTGCACTGCCAGTCCTTCAGGAAGAACATTCTTTCTGTAGTCTCCTCCCCAGCTGCAAAATGCTCCCCAAGAGGCCAGGAAGACCAGGTCTTTGATTGAGCACTAACTAGGAGCGAGGCACTGTGCTAAGCCAGAGGAAGACAAGAAAATAGACCGTCTTCATCCGTGTGGAGTTATTTTCTAGTGAGGATGCTGACCTCAAACAGGGGAATTTCAGATGGTCATGTGTATTACAGAAGAAAGGATCAGCTTGTCTGGGAGGGCCTGGGTAGAACACTCAGCAGGGGCCTCTTCAAGTGCCTCAGCAAAGTTCTGCCGACCAAAAAGTGGACACCCCAGGCCTTATGTGCTCCGTCTGTGAAGTGATGATGATGGCAAGAAGCCAAGACAATTATGCCTTCTATGACTCTTCTGCCCTCTCCTGCTGCTGGGTAACAGGCAAAGTCTCACAGTAGGGGTGGGGGGAGAGAGAGAAAGGGAGGGTTTGCCACTCTCTGTACCAGAATACAGATCTTCTTGCTAGTTTCCTCTCTAGAGCAATATAAAGAATGTATTTGCAGCCTCCACCCCCACCGCCCTTCCATGTCATCTTAAGCCTAAAACCCTTCCCTGACCAACTCTGCAGGGCCATCTTCCTCCTTCACTTCTTCAGGCACAGTAATAGACACTGGGGATTCAGAATTGAGATGTACATGGTCCCTGTATTTTAAGCAGACTGTCTGTGGTTTCCTTGTTTATTTATACCCCTGTATACTTAGGTTTGGTCTTTGCAACGTGATTGTAAGTACTTTTAAAGTCAGGCTCATAGCACCAGAATGTCTCCATTTAGTCCAGGTGTATACACTAGGTATTCCATGAATGCTTGCTGAACCAAGGAGTATTACTCCTACAGCTCAAAGATCGTCCTGTGAATTAGATCATTACCTTTGTCCAGAGCCATTTCTTCAGGGCTTTCAGGAGGGTCTTCCTCTGTTGAGGACTGAGAGCCTGAACCAGCCAGGAACACCAAGTCCATGGTATCTCCTGGGCCGTGGATGTGAAACCAGCCCTAAGCCTCAGAGAAGTCTGCAGCGGCTGCCCCTGAGCTCTGAAACCCAGTGGAAGTTGTTACCGGAAATAGAGTGAGAGGCGGGGAGTGCTTTGGAAGCAAATGAGAGCAATATTGGAGCTTCATGCTTCTTAGAATTTTTTTTTTTCCTTTTCCTCTGAAAGGGCCTAGATCACAGAAGTCAAGAGATGAGGGGGGAGGGGCTTTAGCAGAAAGAAGCAGGGTGCAGCCAGGGAACGCGCGCCACCCCTTTCCACCATTAGACCTGTACCAGGCGGGGGTCCTGGAGGAGGTTTCTCTGAGGTTTATGGAGGGGTGGGAACAAAGAGCCACTGGGAGACGGAGGGGGAGGTTAGATCTGGGTCCCTGTGTTTTCCACATTGCTCCGATGATGAAACTAAATTGTTAGGATTCGGTGTATGGGAGGAGGGGTGGGCGGGAAAGATGTTTTCCATGGCCTCGGCTAAGAATACTATGTTTTTAAAGCTATTTCAGAGCCATGGGAAAGAAGGAACAGTGAGTACAGATCTGCTAATGAGGTGGTGGAGCCTCCTGAAAAGCAGGCAGTCGTTACACCGGGCTCCAGAAGGGGGCGTGATGGGCACAGCCAGGGACCCAGGAGCTAGACCAGGCTCTTGGTGGCCCCTCACCTAGGAAAGGAGTAGCCCCAGTTCTGTCGCTCTGTGCAGAGGGAAAGACAGAGGTTTGCCCCTTTAAACATCCCATCCAATTCTTCACCCAAATCCCCTGCATTCTTCAGGACTTCCCAGCTGCAGTGTGTCTGCCCAAGAAGAAGCTACCCCTGGAGGCTGGGTCAGCTAAGCAAGATCCTAATACCT